AGCCCACGAGTGGGTGATGAAGTTAGTCAGCCTGGTGTGCAAGCCAGAGTCGCAGAAGATCTTGGACCGACAGGAAAACTTGCCCCAAGGTACTTACGAAACATCGGAGTTCTTGAAGTCCGTGGAACTGCAACGCAAGCCCTTAGCCTTGCTCGGAGAGATTCGCCAGTGGCTCCTAGCGGATGAAAACGACCTGCACTTCGACTGGTTCGGTATGTTATCTACCTGTACAAAGATCTGGAAGACAATCATGCCGGCATTTCGCAAGAATCCCGTGTTCAAAGACGACCCTAACATCTACAACTGGAACGTTAATACTGTAATCACTGTACTCAAGACAGAATCTATCGCGCAAGACATGGGTACGCCTATGCCAATCTTTGAGGCGGTTTGGGAAACTTTAAAGCAGTTCATCCAGATCCCAGTATCAAAGGAAAGCGGCAGCAAAACATGGAAGGGCGATCTACATTTGGCCAAGCTTGTAGATGTTTGCAACCCTGCGATGACGTTGATGAACCCAGGGCCTATCAGCTTCATGAATCTCTATGCAAACTGGAGTGATGAAGACAAGAGAGACTCTCGTGTGGGCAGAGCAGTTTGGTATGCAATGCAGGCATTTGGTGCTAGGACCGGGAAGGAGAAGAACACCAGAGAGAGCGTGAAAGAAGAGACAGATGGTGAAGAGTCAGTCAGCGAGATATCAGCCGCCGAGGAGCCTGTCGACGAGGAACCAGCCGACAAAGAGCCAGTGAACGATACACCCGCGGATGAGTACGAACCCAGCGAGCACTCAGGCAGCCAAGACGATGAGACGGCCGAAATCGACGAAGCAGCTTCGGACGCTGGTAGTGGCATCAGTATTCAGGAATTCTCTTTGGACCTCAATGCGCTCGCTAGCCAGTACAAGAACGGCGGCAACAACATCATCTTCATGGGCAACAAAATGAAAGCGCCGGTAGCCATCAGTCGCGCGCAGATGGGCCAGCTACGTACGGCACCCAATGGGGACTTCGTATTGCCCGGCGGACCCCCAAGCCGGTCTTCTCGAGTACAAATGCTACCCCCACGGAAGTCGAAGCGTGTTCGTGGTGTTCGTGCGATAGCTACGACGGAAGATGCCCCTGATCTGTGTGCTTGCGGTCTCAGTCGGTACGGAGTGAGTGTAAGGCCGATAACGACAATGAACACCAAGGCAGCGAAAGTGGAGCACCAATGTATGGGAGCGCTATTCGAAGGGATCGACGTGCCGGATCGTGATCTTGGAGACGCTATCAAGGTGACACGACGCAAAATTCGAGGTTCGTAAAGTTGGAAAGAAGGAAAGCAGACTCGGAGCTCGTGGCATGGGACCGCGGAGGTAGCATAGCTAGTCAATGTATGTAGTCGACCACGATGTCCTCCGCACTTAGGTTTCCTGCTAGCGTTCGCTCCATGATACAAACAACGTTCTTCGAAACAGGCTGTTACAGCAACGACAGTGACGACATTGCGAACGTACCACGTACTGCCAGGTGCTTGCTGGAAATGCATCGCACCGTGCTGGAGCTCCAGCCTTCGGCTTTCCTTGCACCCACAAAGGCTCACGGTAAACAACCACGAGCACGACCTCAGCGCACGCTAGAACATTCACCTTGGAATGCTGGAGCAAGGTGCAGATCGAAGCCAATGCAGTTGCACGATAGACGCTGGAAATGAAGTTCTCGCACAAAACCAATACCCGGGTGCGTGTTTTCGCTAACAGAGACATGCCGACGGACAATCAGGTAGGTTACCGCTGCTAGTACCCATGGGATTGTTCCCGAAAAGCAATTTAAATGCAGGTTGCACGCGGCGCAGCTTCTCAAGATCATCAGGAACACTTCAATGCGTTGCTTTTGATGGACTATTGTACCATACTTGGACGATTGGGCAACAGCAACCCGGGAAATTGCATATGGCCTGCGCCACGAAATCACGCTGGAACAACACTCCAAGATACCAGGCGTACAACATAGAGTTTTTGTCTTTACTGGCATGCCATGCGTTCGCTTGTTCAAACTGTCGAAAGGAATGGAAAATGATCTCAAGAGGTCGCTCCTGTCCAACTGTCGTGTTCGGAGAAGGGTAGATAAAGCGGGGCGCTTGATGGGCGTCTGCGATGTTACTAATCGTGCGACTACCATATTTGACTACCTTGTTTGGTAATCTCCATACGTCAGTAAGCTAATGTCGACGCCGCACACTCCCTACCGATAGTCGTCACGGCCGGCAGACTTCCAAGATGCGCTCGCATGCATCCGAATCCTCCGGATCAGACGGGCGCATAACTCAACGAGGAAGGTCAGGCCTTCCTCGTGGCGACATGTCGATCGTTGAGCGGAGAGCCAGCATCTGGACCAGAGTGGAGGAAAAGTACCAAGGCTTTCGGCAGTGCTCACGCGTGTCGCTCGTATTACCAGGGAGGCCGGAAAGCGATCAGTTGCTACGATTTCAAATGCCCGTTCGGTAAGAGTTCGCCAACCTGCGTTGTTTGAAACATAGCACGGCATTGTCTCAAACGACCAGACGTTTTCGTCGCAGGAGTGAACCAAAATCGCCGCATGCGCCGGTGATGTGTTGGGAAGCGATGGGTCTTGTCGATAGGCTGTTTATCGATAGCCCTCTGGCGGCTGAAACAGCGGCGTCGTGCGGCAGCGGAAGCCCCGTATTCACCCCTGCTGCCACGACACGCAGCCGAGGGGCGATCCGACCACGAGAAAAACAGCCCCAAGTCATTACAAACGAAAACCAACATGACATCACGCCTTTTGATTCGTTCTTTTGCGTGATGAGGTTGATCTCGGTGTTTTCCGAGATCCACCGTAAATCTTGAGACTTCGATGTCTGGGCTTCGAGAATACGAAATGTACGTATGCAAACTCCACATGAGGTTGAGAATGGCACAGCAGGCTGAGACACCGACAGCTGCGTGACAGAATTAGTACTATGCAATAAGAAGGGGCACAGTTCGTCATCTCTACGCCGTACGTAGGCGCGCAGATGACTACCAATGATAGTGGGTGTGTTCCTCTACACGCCGGGCGAACCCAGTTCGTGACTAAGAAACTAGTTCTTTCGTACCTACATTAGCGTCAGGCACACACTCCACCAGCTGAGCGCCGGCGCACCTCTTTGGTCAGCAGGCCGCCTGTCAGAGACAGCAGAAGCCACCGTGCAAACCCCTCACGGGCGTCGGGAAATGCGGGGCGAAAAGTAAGCGCCTCCGAAATGATGGCCTGGACATTCCGGGCCACCTTGGCTGCTTCTGGAATGCTGGGTGGTGAGCATTCTTAAGGGCTGCTGCTCGCCCTTGCAGAGGGATATCCTTCACGCTCACAGCAAGCAAGTCACTCTCTCTTCAGTCATTCATTGACCAGTCATTCATTCTATAGCCCGGTGCTATCAACAAAACACTCATTCTTCTTCACATTCTTTATCACATTCTTCACAAGGTATACCTACCAACGAATATACCCACAAAACCGTTATCTCTACGACCAACATCAATTCAACCATGTCTATGTCCAAGATCTTCCAGACTGGCGCTCTTGTAGCTGCCCTCATCTCCACCGTGGCCGGCCACACCTCTGTCGAGCAGTTCGAGGCTGGAGGCAAGACCTACCCCGGTTTCCGTCAGGCTTCCAAGCAGGATCCTGGTAACAAGTCGCCTGCTTGGTGGACCAACCAGGGCTGGGGATACCAGCCCATCTACGGCGACAAGCTCAGCCAGTACGTTCATACCAACCCTGTTCTTCCCTTTCTTGCATGTACTAACCGAACACCAGCCCCGACATCATTGCCCACAAGGATGCCTCCCCCTCCCCATACACCGTCGAAGCCCCCGCCGGCCAAGACGTAACCTTCCACTGGCACCACGAGGGCAGCTGCGGCTCCGGAGAGGAGGGCTGGGACTGCTCTCACCACGGCTGGACAGCCACCTACATGGCATCCTGCAACGGCGACTGCAAGAACGTCGACAAGACGAAGCTCGAGTTCTTCAAGATCCACCAAAGCGCCCTCCTCGACTACCGCAAGGGCCGCTACTCCTCCGGCCAAGCCCAAGGCCAGACCGGCTACTGGGGCACCGACGCCATCTTCTACGACAACGGAAACACCCAGAAGGTTACTATCCCTTCTGAGATCCCCAGCGGAAACTACGTCCTCAGGACTGAGGTTGTGTCGATCCACAACAACGGCGATGTTAGCCAGCGCCAGTTCTGGCCTCAGGCTTTCAACATCAAGGTTACTGGCGGTGACGACAGCAAGCAGGTCCCTGCTGGAAAGAAGGGTACCGAGCTGTACAAGGCTAGCGATGAGCTTCTCCAGTGGGACCTTTACTGGCACCAGGCTGGTGAGACTATCGAGGATGCGCCTGGTCCTAAGCTCGCTGCTGTCGCTTCCGTTCAGAAGCGTGCTCACGCTCGTGACTTCTCTGCTTAGGCAACCCTTTTTACACTTTCTACCTTTTCTTCTTCTTTCTCCGTCATTAGGAGTGGCTGGTCGCATGCTATGCGGGTTAGCTGCGCGGATTACAAAATGGTGTATACGGGCATGGGTTGGGGTTTAGGCTTTCACGGACTGGGACTGGGATTCTTCTTCTTGGGCATCACTTTCGATTGGACTGGGTCTTTCGGTTGGGATGATGCTGCGACGACCTTTTTATGATTCACTTCTTAGATACACTTGGGCATTACTGCAATGCAACTTTGGAAGTTTCGAGCACTGCGCTCAACCACACAATTATTTTGTTCTTCCTGGATTCGTGATGTTTCCTTCTTCGTGTGACTCCTGGCTAGTAGCCGCCTTGAACTCATAGCATAAGCTAGCCGTGACTGTCTCCGTTCGACTGCTCTGGACACTTGGGTTCGACTGGTCGAACGGCAGCTTTGCAGTTCCCTGGAAATCTCATCTCCTCTTGGCCAATCACTTAACGCAGAGTTCAGGCCACGCTCTTCCCCAAACACGCGAAAACCACCCGATTCTTACAGGATATACACACGAGTCGGGTTATGGTAGTGTTCACACGGAATCTTAACCCCCTCACGATCCATCCATCTAACACTCATAGTCCACGCGTTAAGCCGCATCATCATCGTCCACCAAACATCTTCATACGGGATAGGCACGTCCCCATGATTCCAGCCCCTTTGGCTCTCCTCCATTTCTTCGACGAACTTCGGTACATTGTCGGCGTAAACGCAAGCGCGCTCCGTAAAGATGGGATCCATACCAGCGGGAATATTCCTCCTCCCTGTTGCGGGCGGCGTGGCGATGTTCTGCAAGGCTTTTTCGTAGCTGTGTACGTTGACGGAGATGTGGCAACGCACTGCCTGAAAATAAAGCTTAGAATGAAGCATGCCTAACGTCTTTTCAAGATACGCGGTAGTGTCGTCAAATGCTTCCTTAAAGAAATCCAGTTCCCGGGTATCTGCTCCGCTAATGCGGGTCTTCTGCATGAATTTCAAGGGTCCCAACCCTTCCCAGCTTTCGTAGAATTGGAGTACACGCTTTTTTTGATCTGATAACTCTGTCTCCTTTGCTTTGAGTAGCACCTGCCAGACATTGCGTGACTCGGGTCTCTCGCCCATTGTTGTCAGCGGAAACGGAAACGGGTTGTCGACCGCATTTAATGCCACATTGTGTATGAGTGGCCATTTACAGCACAGGCCGAGAATATCCGTGAAACCAGGAAGTCTGTGAGCGGGGTCTTGACACGACATGCTTGTCTCTAAAGCTAGTCTCACATCGCCATATATCTCCATGACGTCTAATGAGTGATTGAGATCCGGCACCTCAGGCGCTTTTTTATCTCTGAGTAGCAAAACCTTATTGAGGAAAATGATAGGAAGTATCCCACACGCCATCTACTCTTTGTTAGCTCGGGTAAACAGTGAGGCTATGGGCTTGTCCACACGGAGGCGCGACGTCGCACACAACTGATCCAATCAATAACCCATGAAGAAGACAATGATTGAAGATGAGCGCACCCCGATCCTCGCAAAACCTGCTCGACGATAAGGATGCGCTGTTACGTACCTGGTCTGCAGCCGTACTGTTAATACGCCATTCGTGGTCCGGAAATTGGTGTGGCCCAGTCGTGCTATATTCTACCACCAGCCCCATGCCGCGTACAATAGAGGTGGAGAAGCTTCTTCCGCTACCAGCCGCACGCATCTTGCCCTCGTCAATCCGAAAGTCTGACCAGGCCATGCCCAACCGATGTGCCATAGTGATCAAACATCCCACCGTCGTACTTGCGACTGGGCGCACGATGTCTGGTGGCATGAAGTCCCAAGAGCGTATCTTTCCTGCGCATAGGGAAACGCGAAGTCAGTGTAAGTTTTGACGATATGTGCAGTTCCGAAACCTACTTGAGATACATATCAGCTTCACGTTATTTGGCAGCATGCCGTGGGGCTGATGCTTATAGCGGTATCTGACGGTAGCTTCTTGATTGACGTGAATATCATCCAGTAGATTTATCCAAGTGGGCACGTCGTCCGCTGTATACATTCATCTATAAGCTCCTCTCTAGCCGGCTGGTTGCTGGGAAGCTTACCATAGGAGTTTGACGAATAGATACTTCTACAGAGGGTACCCCGACACGAGCGTTCAGTACCCAAGAGTGATACTGGCTTCGAGTGCGGGACTAAATAGTGTGCCTTCTGCCAAAATATCGACCTAGGGTCAGGGAAACTCGGTATTGGCCTGTTCTGATCGAGAAGGAAAGAATCGCGATGTTCGCAATCCGACATCTTCGCCATCTCGAAGTGAGGAGTCGTCACCATGACCTCGTATCGGAACGAGCTCCTACTGAACTTAGATAACCATGATTGAGTTGGTTGAGAGTAGAGATCTCACCATCTGAACTTCAGCACAACCAACTTGTACCAATTGCCGATGACAGAAGGTTGGCATCTGCGGTATCCATCTGCCGTCGAGAAGAGTTGGGCGATGAGTTGGCCGGCTGCGATAACCAGGGCTGAGATTGCTATAGCCAAGGCGGCGGTCGCCACGCTGGCTTCGCTGACCATACTAGCGTGTGCCCGAAGATTTATTGCTTTGGGTTCTTAGGTCATTCGGAAACTGTGCTTTCGAGCATATACGAAATTACAGTTGTCAGGAAACTGAAGCTGGCGGGGTGGTCAGGCCGGAAGCCTTTTATGAGCTGAGTTCTCAGCCTGCTCACTCATGCAAGCCTTCGCGTAAGCATAAAGTCCCGGTTGTCTCAACCCAATGATTCATTCTTTCGAAATAACAGGCCAGGATTGACCCGCTGCTAGGGCCTGCCGTAACGCCATTCCGCGTGCTGTACGGTGTACGTATGATACGGAAGATTATCTGGTAGTGAAGATGGCAACGATGATGCGAGGAGCAGCGGGTTTACCGAGTTTCAACAAAAACGGTTTGCTGCGTCTATGTAATCTTCCAACTGGGATCAGAGTATCTCGTAGGCGTGCGGATAATGTCCTTAGTCGATGCTACCCGTGCATCGAAGGAGCTACGCTCGCGGGCTGTATGGGTAAGCGCCAGCACCCCGCTCCTGCCATCTCGTCCCACCTCGACCCCGCCACTTCGATCCTCCGGCCAAGGCAAGACGTCTTTGAAACCATCAGACGCTCGGAACATGTGATTACATAGCTGAACGATCTGTTGTCCGTGGAAACCGAAACCTTGATAGCTATATAAACTCAAAACATCGAAATTTACCTAATCTTCACTGCGGCAATGGTTTAAGGGTAAAATCCAAGCTTCCCACGCTTCATACGTAGCCTGCTTGGGCTCCGAGTTCGAGTCTCGGTTGCCGCAAACTTCGATGTTTTTTGCTCCTGTGGTGTTCATGAAGTTTGCCGCGCTTTCAAACTTCAGCGCGTCGGAGTAGAAAGGCTTCTCTTTTTGCGCATTGTCGCGACATGACATCCATGGATTGGCGCAGCGCGTAGAAACAGGAAGAAAAGAGGGGATTGAGATGTGACTTGAGAAGTAAGTACCGCAAACAATGATGTGCGATAGGAGTTGAAGACGTGCGTGAGGCTAATGTGGGGTTCAGCAGCCGCCCGTAGCGCTGCGTCATCGCTCCCAAACACGATCCAGCAGCTCTCCAGCAACACCAAGGCACCATCCCACCGACCCCTCAACCACCCAATATGGCTTCCAAGATCGAAAAGACGCTTGCGCGACAACGCGAAAAGTAATTTCAGACCTCATGACCACCCCAGACGCGATGGCTAACCCCGCCCAGAATCGCTGAAGGCCAATTCTACGAAGCCCACCAACAACTCCGCGTAATCGCATCCCGCTACACCAAAGCCTCCGATTGGGCATCCGCGACCTCCATCCTACACTCTGGCGCGCTGTCTCTCCTCCAAGCAGGTCAAGGCGGTTCCGGCGGCGACCTATGCATATTCCTACTCGACGTGTACAACAAGGGGGAGGTTAAGGTAGATGCTGAGAGCAAGGGACGACTACTTGGTCTGCTACGCGCCTTTCCTAAAGATGAGCCTACAAAGAAGAAGTTCGTGGGCGAGATGGTAGCATGGAGTAGTCGATTCGGCGATTATCCAGCTGGCGACCCAGAGATACATCATGTCGCGGGAGGACTATACGCAGAGGGTACGCCCACCACCTCTCTCATCCCCTACTGCAATCCCACCCCCATTTCCAAGAGTACCTACTAACAAAAACCCCACAGACCTCGAACCCTACGAAGCAGAACGCCACCTCCTCCTCGGCACCCAAGACTCCGCCTCAACCCTCTCCTCCCTCCACTACTCCTGGTACACCTCCGACGCACCCCACACCGCCCCCCTCTACCTCGCCCGCGGCACCCTCCCCTACCTGCTCACAGGAAACCTGCGCGCAGCAAACAAACACTACCTCCTCTTCACCTCGTCCCTGCAACGCGCGCCGAACCCGCCCACGCAGCCCGTTTCTACAAAGTCCTCCGACTTCACCGTATACCCTTCACTACCACTGTTGAACTTTCTGGGGCTACTGTTGCTGAGTGTGGAGCGCGGGGATCCGAGTCTCTGGAGGCAGTTGAAGAGCCACTACGCGGGGGACCTGAAGGATGTGAATTGGGGGGAGGCGCTGGATCAGGTGGGCGAGATGTACTTTGGGATTAAGATTCCGAGGCAGGGGAACCCGATGTTCGATATGCTGGGGAGTATGTTTGGGGGTGGGATGGGCGGTGGTGGTGCGCCGGCGAAGAAGGCTGTTGGTGGGAGGCCGCCGGCTGCTGGGCTGGATTGAGCAGACTGTACGGATACGGGGTGTTAGATGGAGAAGCTTTGCGCTTGCATTGTCTAGATTGAATGCGTTGCAGAGGCGGAGGGAAAGCTTTCTAGAGTTAGGCACGAGATACAGCAGAAGAGATACCATTTCACCAAACGATGTCAGAATCTGGAAGCGATTGATGTGTTCATTCAGTCAATTCAAAGCTTATAAGCTTTTGTCTATACCTACCATGTCCATCAAATACCTTCTTCCTTCTTGCATCCAGACAACCACCTTACATAGGCACAGTCTTCTCCTTGAACACAACGCCATACTGGTCCTCAAGCGTCTTCATCAACGGGCGGCAGATCTCGGGGCTCATAGGAGCCAGGATACCCTTCTCGCTCAGAGTACCATCAAGCACCTGCTGTACAGCGACCGCGCAAGGAACACCAACAAGCTTAGCCATGGCAGAGTAACCTTTAGGGTCACCGTAGTCAGCCAATGTGCAAGTGCGAACAGCCTTGCTACCGTCCTTGTTCTCAATCTCGAACCTGTGCTGCAGCATGACCATGTCGCGCTCGTCGTTCTCGTACTGCATCTTCTTCTCGAGGGTAGCGCAGAGGGTGTCAAGCGGGTTGCCGCGAGCCTCAATCTGCTCATCGGAGATGAGCCCGATCCAGCGCAGACCAGTGATGATGCGGTCCTTCTCTTCTGTGCTAGCGAACTTTGTCCGCGAGGAAATGGCCCAGATGAGGTCCTCGTCCTTGTCGCTGCTGGCGCCAATGATCTTGGCGGTTGCGTCGCGCCAGGTGCGCTTCTCGCCTTCCTTGAGGAAGTCCTTGGGGTCTTCGGACAGGAAGCCAATGTCGACGAGGCACTTGATGTATTCTGGGAAACCTTGGTAGCGCAGGGTACCGCGGATGATGGTTTGGCACTCGGGGATGTTGTAGCGCTCCTTGTAAGGTGTGGAGTCGCGGTTGGGGTATGCGACGAAGGCGTAGCCGGGGTAGATGAAGTAGGGCTTTGCCTCGGCCATCAGCTCGGGGCCCTCGACCGACTTGACCTTGCCGTCTTGGTAGAAGGCAGCCTGGTTTCGGAGCGCGAGGAGTACACCGCGGGACGACCAGGAGAACTTGTAGCCGAGCGGGTTGTCTGAGCACTCTGGTGCGGGGAGACCGCCGCAGTATGACTTGAAAGACAGGATCTTGCCACCGGCCTTGTGCACCTCGTCGATGGTGAGGACGGCGGAGAGATGGTCGACACCGGGGTCGACACCGATCTCGTTCATGACGGTGATGCCGGCCTCCTTGGCTTGGGCGTCGAGCTCCATCATCGCGGGCGAGACGTATGAGGTTGTGACGACGTTCTTCTTCTTGCGGATTGCTGACTTGATGACCGTCGCGTGGTATGTGTAGGGGATGAGGGAGATGACAACGTCGACCTTGGCGACTTCGGCGTCGAGGGCATCTGCATCGTTGACGTCAAGCTGGAAGTTGTTAGCAGAGAACTATGTATATGTAGAGTGTATGCTCGTACGCTGATGGCGTTGGTGTTGGGAATGCCCTTAGCCAGGTCCTGAGCCTTCTGGAGGGTACGGCATGCTACTGTGACCTTGACGCCAGACTTCGCGAGGACGTCAACTGTTGGGCGTGTACTGTAATTGTTAGTTTGTTGTAGATTGAGATGGTTGATAGATGACTTACACGAAACCAGCACCGAGCAAAAGAGCGGTCCTATCACCAATTAGCCAAATTCCACCACAACAATCCCACATGAGCACCTACTTTCCGCTGTATGCTCCAGCAGCCGCCCCGCTGACGTTGCCCATAAGGTTCTGTACTTTGTCTGCATCGTCAATTAGCCTAGTTCCCTTTCTTTCGTACTCTCGACTTACTTGTGATGGCCTCCATGATGTGTGATTTGGATGTAATTGCCAAGATGTGAAAAAGTTTGGGGCGAGATTATATCTTTGGCGTTGACTCCGGATCGGAATAGAGAGAAATCGGCGGGGTTACTCCGTCATCGCTCCTTGAAAGTGGGGCATGCGCGGCGCGTCACGTTGGAGATCTTGGGCTTTGGCAGACCGATGGATGTTCCGAAATCAACCACATTTTGAACATATCACGAAGTAAGACGCGTGTAATATGGTATCTAGGCTGCTGGCCTTGCCGTAGATTTCTTTCACTATTGCCTGAACGCGTTCTCCAGGCCTGTTTCGCCATGTACAGCGGGATAACGTGCAGCTGCAGATTTTATCTTGCTAAGCAGCGTCCGGAGTCTGTATGAGCAGCAGGCACGATTATCGCAGTGCATCTATTCTCATGAGCCAGTTCTTCATATCAATTTGACTTGCTGAAGATGGGATTGGACTGCAGAACATCTGGTCTGGGGCATCTCGAAAAGGGAAGTGGGTCAGCGAGCCGCGCCAAGTCAGCTAGGTCGCATTTCCACTAGCACGGTTTCCGCGGACTTGCCAGGTACGCGTTTCATATGCGACGACGACGAGCACCACCATCCACAACTTTGGACCAGGACTGAACATAGCAACTATTACTGTGACCTACTATTCCGCTTACAACAGACGTGTTTTGCAGCCACACACGACAATCAGAACTAGGCAACCGCCATCATGCCTTCAGCCGTGGACCCCGATGATGACCTATGGGTGGCCATCAAACAAGTAGATAATCCCGTATAAGTGTGCGCATATTGTACGTACTGACAGAAACAGATATCTCAGTCATCCGTGGGCTCAGACTACATTGACCAGCTGATCCCCATCATGAAAGATGCACGCTACTCAAATCAACTGCAAATCACATTCGATCGCTATGCCAACGATCGCGAAAGCGAGATCGAACGCATATGCAATGCGAATCATCAAGATTTCGTTAGCTCGGTCGACTCACTACTGAGGATACGCGACCAGACCGTGCAGATGAGTGGTGAGATTTTGCAGCTGAACGAGTCGATCCAAGAGAGCATCGAGAAGCTAGCCGAGCAGAAGAAGGCGCTGGTAGATTCGCGGGGTGTGCGCCAAAATATCGATGAAGCGTCGCAAGCGCTGAACGCGTGTCTGAACGTATTGCGCATTGCCAACTCGGTTCAGGACATGCTGAGGGAAAAGAACTACTACGCGGCGTTAAGAGCTTTGGATGAGTTACAGACGATCCATTTGAAGGAGATCAATCGATTCAAGATCGCGAATGTGATTGAGAAATCTATACCGCAAACTCAAGAGCAGATTAGAGAGGCAGTCAAGAACGACCTGAGCACGTGGCTCTATCGCATTCGCGAGTCGGCGCAGTTTCTGGGCGAGGTTTCATTTTACTACACCGATGTACGGAGAACGCGCAACCAGGAGCGCGCCGAAGCCGACACACGATTCTCTAAGTTCAAATTGAACTCAGCAATCGAACTTGTGGCCGATGAGACGGACGAGTTCGACGTGCTGAACAACGAGGAAGCTGGAAATGAGACGGACTTCTCACCCTTGTTTGAAGCTATGCACATCAACGAGACGCTCGGCAAGAGCGAGCAGTTCCGAGCAGAGTACGCATCAGATCGGCGGACGCAGAAGGATTTGATCATACCGAACAAGCTGGATCTACTGGATGAGGAATGTAGTGACTTGAGCAGCTTGCTGGAGAGTATCGCGGGATATGCGATCATCGAGAAGGCTACCATGTCTAAGACTCTGAATCTACGGTCACAGGCTGATGTGCGTAACAGTCTCTTATTCACGCAAAGCACTGCTAACAAGAGTACAGGTTGACGAGCTATGGGACTCGATGTGTCAAAGCGCGATCAATCTCATCACGAGCCAGCTTCATACCGTTGAGAACGATGAACTGCTTCTGAAGATCAAGGGTCGCATAGCGCTCTTCATGCTGACTATGGAGGTCCGTCACACACACTCACAACTCCTCTATCCTTTACTGACTGCCATAGAAATGGGGCTACTCCGTCTCCGCAATGAACGACCTCCTCCTCACCCTCTTCTCCAAATACTCCTCCCTTCTCAAAGCCCGCTTCAGCGAAGACTTCAGCGAGATTGTGCACACGGACGACTACATGCCCATGCCCATCAACTCGAGCGAAGAGTACGATAAGGTCGTCTCGGTATCCTGGTACAATCCTCCGGCGTCCAACGAACCACTTACCTTCCCCTGCGTATTACCCTTTTCGCAGATGTATCCGCTATGCTGCATCGATATCCGGAATTTCCTCAACCAGATCTACCTGTTCAGCGACGACTACTTCCAGAAGAGCAGTGTCATTGATGAGACACTGAGGCAGAGTCTGGATGAGCTGCTGTGTGAGAAGGTCTGCGGAAGCTTGATCGAGAGGTTGAGTAGTCAGTATCCTGGGCAGATTGTGCAGATCTTGACGAATTTGGAGCACTTCGAGAACGCCTGCGTTGAGCTACAAGATCTGCTCTTTGAGGCGCGTTCGTCCCCCTCAGCAACAGGTCCTGTTGTTCTCGCAGCAACCGACCGTTTCGCCAAAGCCAAGAACACCGCCTCCAACCGCGTCTTCGAGCTTGTAAACAGCAAGATCGACGACTTGATCGAAACAGCAGAGTACGACTGGATGGCCACCAAGCCCGAGACAGAACCATCGACGTACATGTTAGAGCTGACTAGGTATCTCTCCAACATAATGTCTTCGGTCCTTCTCGCGCTCCCCACGGAAATCAAAGAGTTCATCTACTTCGACGCTCTATCCCACGCATCAACCGCTATCCTCGACCTCCCTCTCGCCCAACACATCAAACGTATTTCCCCCGCTGCCGTCGCTACACTCGCCAACGACACAGCCTTCCTCAGCCAATTCGTCAGCTCGCTCAACAACCCCATCTTGATGGAGAACTTGGATGAATTGACGCAAACAGTTGCGCTGATGGGCACAGATGACTCCCTGGAGTTCTTCGACATCGCGCAGAGGAACAAGAAGTACAGCAAGGTAGACCAGATGAAGGGCGCTATCCTGCTAGAGAAGGTACAAGAAGGGGCGCAAGTCGCGGCACAGAGTCCCACTGTAGGCGGCAAGGAGCGTTTCGGTACGCTAGGTTCGAGATTCGGTATTAGATAGAGCATAGCCTGTCAATCTTCACATACATTTCACGTCATAAGAGCAATGCAACATGTGAGCCAGGAGGCATTCAACATACGTTCTATCCCTTCATTCCAACACGCCAAAACGCCGTGAAGATAGCCACGCCGGGCTATCTGGTATCATCCCGTGAACTATTATACATACGTATGCAGCAAACCACCCCAAACCCATCTCTATCTACTCGTCATCCTCCTCCTCACCCCGAGCGACAACAACCCCCTCATCCCACTCCTCCCCCTCATCCAACACCATACTAAACTCCCCCGCCAGAGCCAATTCATCGCTCGCGCTCAAAACGCCTTGAACGTCGCCCGAAGCGATCTCTTCATACACGGCCGTAATGCCGGTAATCCGGCACACGCGCGCAACACTCGCCATCATGACGAGCCCCAGCATGGCAAAGGGGCCGACAGCAACGAGTTGGCTGAACGTGCTTGAAGATAATCAGTAAAAAGGATTCCAAGCCAACTCAGCTCAAGCCAGCAAAAACTTACTAATACCAGCCATGCACAACCCCCTTATCCCAAAACCTCAACCTCGCTTCCACATTGCCCTCCCGCTCCTTGACCGGCCCCTTCTCCAGCTCCTGCAGCAGAAGCCCAATCTGCCGCCGGAAGCCGTGCAGGGATTTCCACCACGTGCAGCGCTGGTGCTGGTTTCGGTTGCGGGTGAAGATCTTGTTGAGGAGCGTGTGGATGTCGTGCAGCATTGCTATGTCGTGCGGGGATGCGTTCAGCAGCGCTGTGGCTGTGATGGTGGGTGGGGGGGAGGGGGTTGTGGGGAGGGTTGGGTGGTGTGGGAGGGTGAATGTTGTGGTTGCCATTTTGGTGGTGGGGTTGGTAATGGAGTTTTTAGGTGAGTGGCTTGAGATAGTGGATGTAGAGACGCGTTGATGGCTTTGTAGGCGTGTGGTGGGAAGTTTTGAGTCGCGTTGGCTGGATGTAGGCTCCCGGGTTGTGTGGACAGCCGCGGATATAGGGTATGTGCGTGCGCGAGACTGGGTAGTGTATGCGCGGGAGGATGATGGCTTTAATTCCCGGATGCAAGCAGCAAAGCGCAGAAGTATTGAGTCGCGGGTTGCGATGTGATCTGGCGGTACTACGATGGTGTTGGGAGTAATCGCAAAGGCAATGCGAGTACGGTCGTTGGAGAGGAAAATTTTTGCGCGCCGACTTTTGAGAAAACTAGCTACTCTACGACCATGAGACTGAAAACGAAAAGTGACGGTGAAGATGAAAAGCGGTGACGCGGGTTTGCCCACGAGGTATAATTAGGGGTCTATGCGAAAGGTCATAGGTCTTGGGGATTCGGCGCGATGTTCCTGACTGACCGCGATGTCAAATGACAAACGGCAAACGAGACAAGGTCTAGCTTAATCTAGGTAACGCACACGTGCGCTGTTGTTGATGAGGCTGCGAAGAGTGCGGATTTGAGGTAGACGAACCTCATCTCAAGAAGTCCAAATGATCTTGACATGCTTATAGCTTTCGTCAACGACAGGGTTAGGGATGCGGTGTGGCGCGATAGTTCTAACCACCAGGGACGATAGTTCTGCCAACCTTTGATCATGAATTTCGCGATGCTCGCTCTGCAAGGCTCCTGAAGCTGTCCGAGGTACTCCCAAGATGCAAGCCTAAAACGTGTCCTGTGCAACGCAGTCGGAAGCATCAAGCCTACGGGAGTGCAGAGTCCATCGATGCGACGAGGCGGAGGATAGGCGGGTGATGCGTTTTAGAGTCGTACGGCTTTTCAGCTAGATGTCTCACGATAGGAGAAGCTGAAGACTATGTGCGTGGTTTTCCGTTCTATTCTCAGGTATGACCTGTCGCGTGCCGTGGATTCGACGGGGAGTCTTTGATCGTGTGGTCGAGGTAGGCGGAGATGGCGAGAGCCATTCGAGGGGCTCGCCGAGTCCCACGATATCCAGATCGGCCCTGAAGACTTCTGCAGCTGTAGTATGTTCTGATCTCGAGTATCAAAGGAGTGCAGTCTTGTTGCAGTCTTCCCTGCGATACTAAGCTTGCTGCATGTGGCTGCAAGCGTGCTTCGGGGATGCTGGTAGCCGTGCGGACCCCCTGGCTTGGTACGATATTGAGATTCTTTGTGGGGTAAGCTTCCAGCCTCCCTCCACGACGCTGCCTCAACCACACCACCACCACGATGATCCCCAACACCAAGCTGCGCTCGCTCAAATTTTCAGAGCTGGCAGAGGGAGCTCACATGACGATGAGAATGGGTCGATGAAGCTTCGCTGGCCGCGGTGGTGATCGGGCTGAGCTCCTGCGACTCAATTCTCCCAAGCAACCACCCGCGCCGCCTCCCACCACCCCACTCGGTCCATGACAAAGGTAGTAACAGGACGAGTATACTCCTGATGACCTCCGCGAGAGCTTCATGTCCCGTGCAGGTCTCTGTCGTGGGTGTTCTCACCGATAGCTTCGCTGGCGATTCGAGGCGGACTCCCGACGCAGCCTCTGACTCTGCTAACAAGCCACCACCACGGTGAGGGCGGCAGCAAGGTCTCTAGCAAGCCTTGCAGCTTCTTCAGGCACTTGTACATAGTACAGTGGCTCCTGTCGTTGACTCGGTCTGCTGCAGGTTCGCCAGCGCATTGACGCTGACACCCAAGACAAACTCAACCCACAGCCCCTCTGACCAGCGTCGACCGCAACGGAGACGACAAAGAGTATTGCCCAATCAGCTGGGCTGGCTTCGGCGAGCCGCATACTCTCCATCAATACCATGCCAGGCCTGGCCGCGGCGGCGCTGCCGGCGCATCGAAGCGGACCCCCGAAGCAATTACATCAGCCCCTCAACACCAACGACGAGACATTCGAATAAGGCAATACCCACACACAAGGATACTTTGGCGTGAGGCTGTATGCATGCATCTGCATTGCATCGAATGCGGCTCAGGCTGCTCCGCTGGCCACGAGGGGGCTTTTCGCAGGCAATCGCAACTTTGACCTTTTGTAGGTCGGCGACCACAATCGATGCGAGCCTCCTCACTCCAGTCCGCCGTCGATCACACTCAAGGGAAGTTCCCTTCGGGCCGCTGCTCATATCAAAGTTCTTGGAGTCGACAGCTTCGTCGATCTTCTGAACTACCCCTCCCCAGACAGACAAACACCAAAAGAGCGACACCAGCGGTAAGTAGCGCGCAAGCGCTCGGTCTGTAGCTATTCATGCTTGCAGATCGCAGCGCCGTGTCGCATTGACTCATGCAGGAAGCCTCTTCGTCGCTGGCCGCACATCCCACGGCGGGGCTGGCAGGAATCCGAAAACGAAGCAGAAGACCCATGTTGCACACGATGCCTCGACGCGACGAATACAATCGAAGATCCCGATCTACTATACCCATGTCAGACCCATACCCACTCCAGCAATACAACATTGCGCTGCAGTCGAAGTTTTGCGGAAGCGGAGACACATGCGCGACTAGACGGCCCGTCTACGGCATCCACACACATGAACTGTACATTGGCAGATCGGCCCGTCTGTGTATTGCCAATGCGACCCACTTGATACGACATACGAGAAGAAGCAAGAAGTTCGTCACAGCGCTGCCATGGTGCATGCGAATGCGAGTGCGTGGTACATCCTGCTGGAAGAGGCACAACAGCGAGCATGAGCGCATCGGAACGCCCCACCGGCTGACAATGGAGACAAGTTACCAGTCATGTAAACACAAGACTCCACAAGCTTCGGATCGCCTCGTTTTCGCTTTCGTTTGATAGATGGCCGTCTCCACAACGGCATCATGGCCTGCAGCACATATCGAAACGGGTCAGGGCCGACAGACTGTTGGTGATCTTGCCGCGACGCAAGAAGGACCCCACGGCCCTTCGCAAGCCGTTCATGGCATCTCCCACCATGATCACGGTAAAGCTTTTAGTCTGCAGGGCGCGTGACGCATGACCATCGGCGTGCAGACCTTCAGCTGGAACTGGTTTCCATGATGGCATATTCCGGAGATGATCTTACCGTTGTGCCTCAGCAATCGTAGCATGATGGCAAGCCTTGCGACAGCGAGCAAACGAAGGTGGCCAGAAAGAGCAAGGACTTGGGGTGGTCACCATGCGTATCATGACTGTGTTGAACTGCACATTTCAACGTAGGCCTGATCGACGTCGCTGCGAAAGAGATGTAGTTCCAGCAAAGCTGTGTGTGATCCGCTTTGGTTCGAAGTGGCTACGGTGATCTCCGGCCACTCGAACAGCAGCGTTCCCAGCTTCAGCGTCGGATTCAACGCGTGATATGCTCGCTGTCGTCTTGGTGTTGCACAATTTTTCGACGACGATGAAAGGTATGTTTGGTGAGTCCTTGGAGCTCCAAGGTCGGCAAACATCGTCAGCGATACATCCACCACAGGTATGGACTCCAATAATCAATGCACCTGCCGGCATAGACATGCTCAGGGCATGCTGCTCACCGACAGTCTCTTGCGATTTCATCAAACTCAGTCCGGCATACTCACGCCTCCAAGCTGTCAGCACGTCGTCGGACGACGGCCAGACCCCATCCCATACAGAACAGGGTCATCAGCAGGCGCCTCATTTGGCACTCTGAGCGCTCGGACTACTACTTGTTGAAAGTGGTCGACCAGCAAGCTCGACGACAACGGATGCCCTTGCCCAAGGAGCCCTGGTCGCCTGTCTCAGCCGATTGTGACCTCATCTCTCTTTGCGTCTGTCGAGCAGGGCGAAGATACAGGCACACTAGCCATCGCCATCAGTCTCGACCAGCCGGCTTTGTTCGGACCCTATGGGCGTTGGTGCTGGCGCTGGCGCTGGCGCAGATGCAAGCCATGTCTCGTCTTCGACCTTGTCTACGGCTAAGGCATCCGAGTTAGGCTGAGGTTTCAAGCTGCCGCGGCCTCAAAGCTGTTGAGTACACAGGAAGCGGACTTGTGCGCAGTCCCCTGACCCTGGAAACGCCACGTCTGCGGACTATAATAGCTTCAAGTCTACTCGACCCTGAAGTAGAAGCCGAAGCCATCCGGCTAGGAGTTGTCTCCGAAGAAGAAGGATCAAGACGTCCACCACAAACTCGCTACCATGCGCGACATACGCCATTCCATTGTTTCGGTCCAGAGGCGTCTGCGGCTAAGATGGCGCTTGGTAGTGTACCTGTCTTGACTCAGGGGCTGGCTCGGTACGAACTAGTCGGCGCCATCTTCGTCAGCCTGAACTTCAGACGACGCGGTCGAAGGATCAGGATGTCTCCCTTGCTGCACTCGCCGCGACCGACCTCCCGCGCTCTTCCGAATTATCGCTCAAGTCTTATCGCCGTAAAGGTGCCTTGTACGACTGGCCTTGGCCATGGATGAAGGCCGTGGATGAAGGCGTGTCCGTCTTGGGAGATGTCGCCGCGGAGGCCTTCGCGCTCGTCGCCATTGTCAACGGAGAAGCTGAGGCGGCCAACTACATGATGTCCTGTGTAGCTGTACCATTGTCGTCGGTCCTGTCCTATCTTGCAGACCGCGAGAAGAGGTTGGGGCCCGAAAAGCTTGCGTCGTCGTCGGTCGCGCTCTGCTGATAGAAGAGTCGGTCGTGCTGCCTGCGTATACGATTGCTCGCGATGTTAGTATGACCAGCACGTCAAAGGAGAAGGTGCTATACCTGTTCATGTATGCATCTCTCGCGCTGCCCACTCCGCCGACGCCAGGTCGTGTCGCCGCGTCAATAGAGGTCGAGGAAAACAAGTCAC